GGGCCCCGGGGAGTAGAAAAAGGAGGGGTGGTGTGACTGTGGCTGTGTGCGGCTAGGACAGAGTGCCGGCCCCGGGCGGGCGAGCGGCGGACTACGGACTAAACTGTGGAGGCGTCCCTCACTACTTGTGTCTACGCTGTCGAGGCCCTTGCTGCTACTCTGTTCTCTGTATCTCCCCCACCCCTACCCCCTTCTCTTTTGCCTCTTATTCCTGGAGTATCGCGCGCGCCACGCTCAACCGAGTTTAGCGTAAGGGCCAGGAGGCCACAGCAGGCCTTTCCGCGAGGGCGATCCCTTTTCGACTAGAGCGAGGGGGTGAGGCGGTGGAGGGGCAGATTCACTCCGGGTGAGGTTCAGAGGGGCGAGATGGAGTGGAGGTAGGAGGGGGAGGGGGGACAAAAATATGTAGCTCTGCCTCAAAGGCTTTTGCGTGCTTGCGAATCCTAACAACGCGCTCCCCCGTCCACCATTCGGCCAGACTGGAAGGTTCAAGGAGGGATCAGGGAGCATGCAAGAAATAGTCAACACAGAGATTTCCGCCGGCCAAATCCTTTGATCCCGCGTTTTCCCCGGCTGCGGGGGGACGTTTTGCGTACAGTGAAATTTCAGTCTGCTTGTACTACTTATTGTATTGTTGTTTTTGTGTACCACGAATAACTCGCCCCGTTTTGCCCACATATTTGTTCAAAACGACGCGTAGGTTGAACTTGGCACAAAAACAGTCCAAATTGCTTTAGTGCGTGCTGCCGGGCCGCGGCCCCCTTGTCCCTTTTGTACCACCCATCATTATAAAATACTCCCCACACTCCTGTTTTTGCGGCGCTCGGCTCCCCGGCCGGTGTGCGGCACATCGGCCTGAGGGGCTCTCGTCGCGCGGCTTTACTGAATTTGTCACCCCGCCTCCCCTATCTCCTCCCCACTGCCTTCATTGTGCCCCTATCTTTCCCTCTTCCGCTTTCCACACCTTTTTGTCTATCCGACGCCCTCACACTGATGCCAGCAACCACCCCGTCTCGTATATCTTTGCGGCTGCACTGCAGACTCTCCCTCGTCTACCCCCCCCCTCTCTCCAATCCCAGTGGTTATCGGTCATGCTAGTTCGCTACCTAATATATCGTGCAGACTTTGCAATAACAAACGTGTGTTTTTCATTCACGCTGCTCTTCCAGTCACACCGAGGGCATTTATGTCGTCAGTTGTAGCCGGGCCAGTGACAGGGGAAAATGAAATATTTCAAAAGTATTCCAGATACTTCAGAAGTTTTCCGATATTCCACCAAAAGTTGCCGGACATTCCAATAATATTCCGTGAAATATTCGAGATATTTGATGTCCACTAAAAATCTGAATGGTCGACCCAGCGGGCAGGGTACAACCGCCCTCCTCCCCCCTTTCTCCATGCATGATGCACGGATTCCAGCTGGACCACACGACTCTGAATAATTCCCTGTGTTGGCGTGAGACCGACGAGGAGAAGGAGCGCGAAATGGTTGTGCAAACGGACACAGCGATGGCAGAGGGAAGGCACTCCGACAGTCCGGGATGCAAAAGGCGGGGCATCGGACGTTTTAAGCATTGATAACTGCCGTAAAAGTAGGGCGAGCGCGCGGCTGTAAACGTCCGGGCACGCTGGGTACGGCACGGCCGCGCCCGGCCGCCTGCTCGCCGCCTGTGCGCCCGCCGCCGCGGTGCCTGGCTGTCGCTGTCGCGCTCAGGGGCGTAAAAGATATCCCCGCCTACGGGAGCTCTCGTGTTGCTTTTTTTGACGAGTCCTTTTTTTGATGCAGATTGTTTTGAAACAATTTTATGAAAAACTTTCCAGCGTCGTTCACCACTATTCAATAAACAAAAGAAATACTGGAAAAGTTTTTCTGTGTTTTCTATTAGATTGAATGTGATAGACATTAAGGAATTTGTTGACGCTTAAAAGCTGGCTTGAATGAATCTTGCCGAAGTGTATTCCAAGTTCCCAAAGTGCGGCCAAAGTGTAGCCTCGGCTGCACGCGCGTGTGCGTCGGATTATCGGTCCGGAGCAGTACAAGCAACATATGATGGGGGGACCGTACTGGGCTGGCGCCGCGCCCATAGAGCGCTGTGCTGGGCGGCGGGGAGGGGAAAGTAATTACAGACAGTCTGAGCCGAGCCGTGATGAGCCGAGGCGCTGGTCGTTATGCCGGCTGGCTCGGCTCCGAGCTCGGCTCGCCCCCAATAAAGACGCCACCGCGGCACTTTCTGCTCTCCGCGCTTATTCCCTTATCCCTCCGCCCGCGCACGGCCCGGCAGCACGGCCCGGCAGCACAGCCCCGAGCGCCCCCCTTGGTAGGCGAGCCCGCCGCGCGGGGGCGCCCACCGGGTGGCCTACGCGCTCGGTCACAGGCGCCTGCCCCTGCCGGGGTCGCCGGCCGGCCGGGTCCGGCTGTTGTGGCTCTCCAGAGGCACTCTGTCTTGACGCTCCCGCCTCCCCCTCCCTCCCCCCGGGCCGTGGCGCCATGCTCATTGCTAAGACATGACGATGGTCAAACAAGACTGCGTCTGCGTTGTCGCGAGCACGTGTTGCTCGTAAACTTTATGAGCGGGGTGTGTGTGTGTGAGGCGCCGCGGCGTTGCTTAGAACGGCCATATTCACGCGTCAGAAGAGTTGCGCGAAATACGTATAAAAGTACACAAATTCATACCATTTTTGAAGCTGCTTTTAAATTGTGCAATTTGCCACAATCTTAAAAAAAATTAAGGAACTAAACAGAAAATTATATTTATTACGCAATAAAGCAGACCATCATTATTTCGTCAGTACACGGAAAAAATATTCGCTCTGCCACCTAACATATTTGCTGGCATTTAGACCAATAACCTATAAACTATTAGTTTCTAAAATAACTACTTGAGCTATTTTTACCGATAATTGACTGTAGTAGTCGAATATTGACTCTGTGAATTAATGTTTCTGTAGTAGTCTAATATTGACTCTGAGCTAATGTTTCTACCATCTGCCATATGCACTGTTATTCAACGAATGTGACGTCACATTCGTTTCAATGTAAATCGTGTCACGTTCGTTTAAATGTTGTGTCACATTCGTTTAAACGTGAATCGGCCAATGCCTGGGCCCATTTGAGCATCAATTCACGTGAAGTCACGGTCAAATGAATGTGACACAATATTCAAACGAATGTGACACGTTTCACATTGAAACGAATGTGACGTCACATTCCTTGAATAACAGTGTGGCCCCTAACGGACGAAGGCAGAAGGCAAACACTGGAGGGCATTTCAACGATACACCTGGTACACACACCTATTGAAATCTCGAAATGGCGATCTTTCTTCCTTGTGCATTAGTCTCTCGGGGCCGTCCTCCTCTCGCTCGCTGTTTACTGCGAACTTCACCAGGTGCAACTTCACCGTTCTCTCCTTCTTCCTTCTCTTCCTGCCCCAGCACTCCCTCGCTTATCCTTCTCGCCGCAGAAAGCCCCGTTCCCTCCAGTCCGTGATGTGGAATGTAGTTTACGACGAGGCGGACTGCCTATCCCTGGCTCCATTCCTCTCCAGCCTACACCCCCCCTCTAACCCCATCCCCCTCTTTCCCTACCCTCTTTTCGATGCTTCCCACGCCTGCCTTGTGCCAATATCACCCTATTTCCCTGGGAAGACACGCTCTGCCCTGGGAGAAGAAAAAGGCTGTTTCTGTTGCATTTTACAGCGGGTGTGTATACGACACGAATACGGCGCCCTAGTTGACGTCAGTGACCTGCTCTGGTCCGTCCCCGATTCTGGCCAGAAATGATTTCCAGCTGTTTGTAAAAATCTGTTGGGATGACTTTTGTGAATAGTGATAAGCACGGACAAATCAGGCAGATTTCGTTTTGTGTCGGTGGAGGGTAGGTGTGATGGCTGGTCTAGGGAAGGGTCTGAGGCAGCGCGACACGCACACACGCGCGACAACTTGCTTGGATAACTCAACTCTGAACCTGGAGAGGATTACAGGATCAGCCGCCCGTCAAGGCCAACTAACTTTGAGTCGATTAGACCGCGCCGGGCAGGTCTGCCGTGAGCCACAGTACCCCTCCCCCTCATACCCCCACCTCCCGCCCCTGCACGAGCGCAGGATGTATGGGAGAGCGAAGAAGCGTGAGAGGGAAAACTGCTTTCAAAACGTATGAAGTGCGGCAAAGTTTTATCTTGCTAAATCCTTCCCCACCTCTATCAAATATTTTTACAGCTCTCGCAGATGAGAGGGAGGAAACAGCCGTGGTGTGTGTGAGAGAGAGAGAGGGGGCATAAACGTGTATGTGTGCCTAAGAGAGAGGGATCGTGTTTGTCTAAGCGAGAAAGGGTGTGGAATGAACTGAAACTCACCCTTACTTCCGTTAATTACGGAGTTGAGCAGGCCTCGCCCCCCCCCCCCTTCTCTCTCTCTGCTTTCTCTTTCTCTTTCCCTCTCTCTCATGAGCAAATACGTGTTAAACAACTGAGCCAGTCCGCGCTGCTTGATATATGCAGTCAGGCGAACTTATTTTTTTGCAAATCTCCATCTCTAATCAATTAATCCTCCCCACCGTTTGAAAAACAACGAAAAGGGTACAGAAAAGTCAGGTCAATTGGTGTTGCCGTACAACTCAATTTTTCACAGTGCCTATGCCAAATTATCCCGAGGCAGCGCGATCTGGTCCGTGAACCCTGTTTGGGAATAAGAGAAAAGTAAAAGAATGCTCTGTCGAGCTTCTACTTTCCGATGGTTAAATCGAGTGGGGAGAAAAGGGAAAAAATACCCTGGATATTGAAAGCAGGTGCTGCTGCAGGCTAAAGGTGCTGGTGCGAGCAGGTGAGTGGGGCCAACGGATGGAGCTGGCCCGTGGGGTACGCCCCTTCCTCCCGACACCACAACCCACAACTTTGGTGTGTTAGACATCCGTATTGCTCTAGAAACCCGCTTCATCTCGCGCATTTAAGTTTGACTATTCAAGTCGGCCGACTTTACCGGTAAACAATTTAACTACTTTCCCGCGAAAGTCCATTCTGCTTGAGTGTACTTTCAGCTTACCAATATCCCGTATGGTGGAATCCATCTGGCTGTCACCGCCTGCAATCAGACAAAAACACAACCATTAGTGCCTCGATTCCATGTGTCCTGCGCAGCTTTTGGCTAATAGTTTCTCTCCTGCAAACCGAAAGACCAAATAGTACATTTACAAGTACTATTTCTTTAGATTAAGTAAAGTTGTTGTTCTAATTATCCGCTTGGTAAGGTAGACGGCGAGAATATCAACATCTGTTGTCCAAACTAGGTTCGGGCGCTTTACCGGACGCTGAAATAGGATTTCCTCTCCTGGCCCCACGCTGCTGACTCGCACTAACATACCAAACACACGTGGGCGCACCGGGAGAGGGGAGGGGGGGGGGCCTCTCCTTGGCAGCACGCCAGCGGGGCCAGCCAATCTCATTACGTAGACGCGGCCCCGGCTTGCGCGCGCCAGTCGGCCGCCATCGCCAAACACGCCTCCCCTCCACCTACATACTGCCAATCCGTACACCCTTCGATGACCCATCAGAGCCCTCCCCCGGCTGCGTTGGCTATGGTGCTTGCGCCCACCCCCACAATGAAGGGAACAAGGGGTGTAGCCCCCCTGGGCCCCCCTGGGCCTCCCTCC